GTAAGCATAGTTTTCTCCAATAATAAAAGTAACTACGACAAAACGACAATACAGTATCTATAATATCTCGCTTCGCTCGTGCGCTCCCGCGCCCGCGTCGCACAATAAACAACTTTAACATGCATGTTACACAATGTACTATATTATATACTTATCTCCAGGAATTTATATCGTAATTTATAAATGCAAATTTTATTAAATATAAACATAAGAGCTGATTGTTCCATCTTTGGATAAACTATGTGGCAATTGATCTACTGGGTAAATAAATTAATAAAAGATTGAAAGAGTAAGAGATGCATAAGAAAGTAAGAGAGTAAGATAGTGAAGTTTACCGAACAATCCAGCCTAAATGACATTAATGTCATTATTATAAGAGTACATTTGAATACTTTCACTGCCAGTATTAAACATTTATAGTTTATGCTATACGTGTATATTATAAATTTTCAATATTGGCAATGACTTTCGGAATGCATCTTAAAAGACAAAAAGGTACAAAATATTTTTTTTATATTAAAAAAATGTCTATTTAAATAAAATATTTCTATTCAATGAAAAATAATGCGATTGAATAAGGAGAATACGAAATTAAAGTAACGATAAAAAGTAGCAGTTGATTTGTTTGATATCATTACCAAACAGCCAGAAGAAAGTAACGATCGAAAAAAGTACGATAACACGGTGTTACAAGTAACGCATTACTTCTCGACCGTGATAATCAGTATGACGCATACTGGCCATCAGTCCTTTTCCTTGCCGGTCTTTCCGCGAGCGGGGGCTGCCTTTTTCTCCGAGCTTCCAAATTCATTTGTTCATACTCAGAGGCATCATAGGCACGTATTTGTCACTAGGTCGGAACTTGTATTGTGAGCACAATCGATCAGACACAGCCTCCGCGTAGCCGTTCCTGCAAAAAATTCCATCGGTCAATAATTTATTAAATCTCATCGATAAGGCAATTTGCCGAAGCAACTTATAAAAAATCAGTAGAAAACCCTTCGTCCACCAAAGCATTAAAACCAATTATAATTTCGCAGGGTAAAGGAACTTTCACCACAATATTGAGATTAATTAGATCAAAGCTAAAAGATACCCGCGAAAAAAAAATATATATATAGATTTAATATAATTAAATATAAATTTTATTAAAATTTAATATAATACTAAATAAGATCTTAATAACGAGATTCTAATAAATTTGGTTTTAAAACCGTAAAAACAAATTAAAACCTTATATATAGATTTAATTTGGACCATATAATGATCCATATTAAGTTATATAAGACCATATTTAAACTTATTAATTCAACTTATTAAAATTTTTGTTAAGACCATATTAAAACATATTAATTCAACTTATTTAAAACTTGTTAAGATTTAATTAAATTATATAAATTTGACTTTAATAAGATTTAATAAGGACTTATTAAACTTAAATAAGTTGTTATAAACTATATTAAAAATACATGTTCGCATTTATTTATAAGGTTATATAAAAACTTTATAAATTCTTTATATGAATTTTGATGAAATTCTAATAAAGAATTTATAAGACTTTTATTTAGAATATATTAACTTTTTTTTGCGGGTAATTATGCGCGAAACCGTCACCGAAAGCTATGTAGCACATATTAAGTGTGCGGAAAAAAGAAACGGAAAAAAAAATATATTTACGGCGATCCTTTTTTATATGTCGGAACGTCTTCAGATAAATGACGTGCCATCCTGAAGAACGTATCTCTGTCTGATCAAATCTCTAAATACTAAAGAGACGGTTGTCAATAACGGTTTTTGAAATCCTCTCCCCGATAAATTGTTCGGCGTATAAATCAGAGACTTCTCCCATTGTAAATCGCAACTAAAACAATTCTACGATGTAACGGCATGAATGTCGAGGTCAATTTATTTTTTAATTGACATACGATGAGGTATCCTGTATATCTACCTTTATAGTTGAGTGACAAAATCTTTTTTATTATATAAATATATAAATAAAATATATGGTACTCTCTCAGTATAGCCTAAATTAAAAAAAATGTTGAAAACTTGCTTTTGTATATATAGAGTATACCTTTGCCACTGCGAGCACGGTCGTCTTTCTTTGAAACAGATAACCTGAATTACATTGAAGAAAAGCGCGCCGAGGGTATTGGCCACCTCGGTATTGAGATTCTGTAAACATCTGCGGAATTTGGCGTCGCAATCGCAATATGAGCGAGTAAATGGCGAGTTATTGCATATGCCGTGTATGCATTGTTGCGGCGCTATTGTGGTTGAGCAATGGTCATGTTCCCTGCAGCAAGCATCCTCGACTGAATGGTGGCCTAAATCATTGTAGGAACTGGCCACGTTACCTGGTCCACACCACTTAGTACCAGGATATATTAAACCACCGCCGGGCGCTTGATTCTGAAGAAAGAAGTTTCAGAAGTTGCAATTAATTGCATTATCCCGATAAAGGTTTTTAAAGTAATCCGATTTGGATAAAGTAATCGATTTAGAACTCATGGTTCCGGAAATTGGATCGGAAAATGCATTTTTACATTTTCCATTATAGTTCGACACAGGTAAGTGATACGTCAAAATGGTCTACAGCAAAAATGAAGGAAATTAAATGATCTTTCGAACGGCACCATCGCGGTTTTATGATCGGACTTTATTTATACGTCTTATAGAGAACAAAAACTATAAATAGGTCCAGATTTAGATTACTCCCCCCACGTCTAAAAAAGCATTTAAGAGTTCAGTTTATTATAATTTCGAATATATTTTAAATAAAGAGGGTTAATTTAGACCATTCGGAGGCAATCGCTGAGTCTCACCTTCCCTTTATTTCGCGAAGCCTTACAGGTTTCCTCCAGATCGGCGACGAGATTGCTGGAAATTTGTCGAACTTTTCTGGGGTCCGCACCAAGTACCATTCTCTGAATGACCCCGCGGTCGCTGTAAAGAGCGCAGAAGGGTGCGTCGGCATTCAGCTCCACCATCCTGGACATGGTAGTGTCGGCGACCAACACACTCGCCTCGATTCTTCGGGCCCAAAAGATCGGCAAGACAGCGCCGAATAAGATAATAAACATCTGTGTAAACGCAGAGAAACCAAATCAGACTACGTAGAGTAGACCATTAAAACTAACAGATGTTTCGAAGAAGGTTTTAAACATCGCCAAATAAGGAAGATAATTAATCTTTGTCGTGATCAAATGTCGGTACTGTCGAGAATCTTGACTCTTTCAAACAAAAAATAAAGAGAGCCGCAGTCAAACATACATTCAAAATTAATACTTGACCGCTTTAAACTCTAGCTCCGTCAAGGCTACTTAATTCAATTCGTAATAATAGGACAAAAAGTATTATCGCTATACAATACAGCTTAATTTAATTCTGCAACAAAAATTAGCATATTTGTATCTCTCGATTAAGCAACTGGTTAAAGACTTTTGTTTAATATTCGGCCAGAATTTATAATAGCTCTTCATAGTGAAAGGCTTGACAACTAAGTGTGAATCACCCATTTATCACATTGCTATTTAATACTATTCTGTTGAATACCAATCTGTAAAGTCTTAAACAAAAATATTCTCCGCGTGTACCTTTACGTGTCGTCATTTGTCGCATCAAAGAATGGAATGCCTACCGACAACCAAGTTCTTATCTTTCAGCGGATATATCTAATTTAGAGAATCGAACTATAATCTTCGACCTTGATTTAGTTTGGGTCATTTCAATTCAGGCCGATCGCGAAAGCGAGAGTAATGTAGACGAGTGTAACTGTGCAATGTGGGTAATCGAAACCCATTAACGAACTTGTCTCTTGAACTTGCCTCCCGAGGGATGCGAACAATAAGATCGCCTCACAACTAATTCACGTGGACTGAACCGCACCAGCGATTATTATTCATCACCATTATTAAGTCATCAAAACCGTTTGTCCGCCCGATCTCGTTTGGCTCGAAAGAGCAAAACGCGAAGTAATATAAATTTTCATGAAGATTAGAACATCCGTCTCACTGCATTAAATCTGCAGCTTTTATTATTCTTTTACTCACTTATTTTATTATTCTAATTTACATAATAGTTTAAATAATGTAATTTTTACGATTTTCACATAGCGAAAATTACAGTAAAATCGCTATATTTAAAAAGTGTATATACATCAACTTATTTTCTTTTTTTAAGTATCGCTATACTCTGATAGAGTAATAAACCAAATCCAATTGGAAATAGCAACGATATGAAGCTTTAAAAAATCGAGCCGATTATCTCTCCCATCACTTAAATTATTAAAGCCACTCGTCTGTCGTTCTTTCGGATAGTTAAGCAAGTTTGAAATAAAGTGCAACTTCGTGTCAATTCGTGTTATACGAAATATTCAAAACATTTCGGACGTTATAAACTTTAAACAACAATTAGCACATTCTCTTTGAAAATTTTAAAGTGATCAGTTTTCACGTAACGGAAAAACGAAGCTGTTACATTAATTTTTTTATGCAAATCTAAACAAAAATTATCTTTTTTATTATTATTGAGTAAAACCTTCTATATATATATATATATATATATATAATTTCAATAAGTTCGTTATCTCTATTTTTCATCGTTAAAATTCTTTAATAGAAAATTCATTACCGTTTTATATAACTATATTAATTTTATATAGGAAATATTATATTCTTTTGTTGCTATCTACAATTTCTGATATATAGTTTGCATATGTGCCAATGTGCCGATATGTTACTGAGAGAAGAATTTTGATATTTGCAATTATAAATTACATATCACTTATAATTATGATTATTACTACTATATTAGTAATATAACCATAATATATCTATATCCACAACAGCACAGAATATTCATGATAAATATTTATTACTATTCATTTTTTAAAATGTTATGTCTAAATAAATATTATATCTGAATAAGAATATATAAAAGTATTTTGTGTTTCGTATTTCAGTATTAATTAAAAATATTTTGTAATTCAAATACTAAAATTGTATCAGCGCAACCCTCGCCCTGATGAAGTGAACAGTATGGTTCACGAAACGTTGGCATTAATATTTTTATAGCATTTCCTATAACATTTATAATAAATATTTTATAATATTTGTAATAAATAAATATTTATGATTAATGCAATCTAATTTTAAGACCACAAAAATATTTACAAAATATTAAAAATAAATCTTATAAATACATATTTACAAATATTTTGAAAATATTTTATAGATATTGTATGCTCTGTCTGGGATAACAATTACAATTACGATAAATCTAATTATAATTAACAAAAAATACCAACAAATTTTCTCTCAGTAATGGATTATCTAAGATCGTTATATCGAACTTGTTTCTTGAACCTGATGCACACATATGTCGATTAGCACTACCACAGCAGGATAGGTCTATTAATCGGACGCAGTTGGGTGATTACGACGCATCTATACGTCCCATCGTTTATTGCTAATCGTGATTATTATCAATTTGACCGATAGAAACTATCGTGACGGAAACTATTATGACGGTATAATAAGTGTCGTGACATGGAGCATAGAATAAAAATATAAAAATATACTTTATATCCAATATTTTTTACGTTATTATTTATTTTTATATTTTTTGATAACGTAAATATAAACAGTGAGTATAAGGTTTTATTCTTTATTATCTATTAAAAGTTGTAAGGTCTATTTTTATGCAGTATTTTTTGTACTCAGAGAAAGGAAGTTTAAAGTATTTAAGAATCTATTAGATACAGATCTGAAAATAATTTTGTTGTATCGAAATAATTGTATAGGACATACAAACTGATTGCTACAATGTCATAGTTTTTTACTATTGAATGAAAAGATTCGCTGAATATGGCACAGCATTTTTAATTGATTGCAGCGGTCAATTTTTGATTGCGTTAGCCTATCGAAGATATTGACATTGCGGATATAGGCGCCAACGCAACCAAATTAAATACTTCTGCAAAATCGTTCTTTCTATGTAATTTCCAGTATTGACGAGACTATGAAAATGTACATGTGAGATGCGAATAGTGGAGAAGTTAAGAATGTTTCTGAGTAAATATTTCTTTCTGAGATTCGAGGACAATGATAAAAGTGTAATGATTTCTAAACATCTGCATACAATGAATGCATCAATTTATTGATATCTATTTATAGATCAATAAGACAGATTTTCTTTATGTGACGATATTATGCCGTTAGTGGATCGCAGGAATAAATTGAATGTATTCAGCAGCAAGTTAAAATTAAAAATTTTGAATTTAGAGTTTAATTTAATTTAATTTTTACATTTGAAAGACTTTGTAATTAGAATTAAATTTTTATGTATGTCGAATTTTTCATAAACTTTTTAATATAAATAAAATGAAAGCATAGTAATAAATGTCGACATGTTTCGATCTTTTTTTGAATGTAACTAAAATATCATTAATAATTTAACTTTTTCACTACACTTTTTCGCCAGATAAGAAAATAAAACAGCTGGTTCTCAGTGAACTTATCGAAAACATATTATATCACTCACAAGATATAATAAATCACTAATACACGACTCGAAGATACATATATAACTGATTAAAAAATAGTTCTGATATTGAGAAATCCGCAAATATGACTAAAAGAAAAAGGCACGAAAAAACGTAGCAAATGCGCCAGACCACTGGTCAGAGTCTAGACTGCGCAACCCCCATAGTTCACCCCGCCAAGCTGATCGCACTGCAGTGCGTAACGAACGAGAAGTAAGAGGGAAAACATATAGTTATATTCCTACAGCTCATATGAAAATCATAATTTTGCCAAGCACACTGGATACACTAATGTCTATAAAAAATTAAAGTTAAATAATACGATTAATGACAAGTAATTACTTTAATTTAATTTAAACAATTTAATATTTTAAGTATTTGCTTGTAACAAATAAATGAAAATAAAAGATAACTTCTTGTAGTCAGATTAACTACTTTATAAAATAGCTTTAGCGTAGAAAGTGTAATATATATGTGGATATATATATAGTGATAGTCGAACGTTGGAATAACGTTATTGAACCGAATGCTTATAATGCCATACTGTAGAAAGAACACGTCATTGCGTGAGGGGTAAGTATTTTATACACTGCACAGATTTCTTTTACATTTTTTAAATTTGATTCTTGTATGCAAGCGATACAATGTTTTGGAAGAAAAATATGTAAAATGTCAATACGTAAAGTGAGACGTGTCCTATCATACACACACACACAACTGTTTACAAAATTTGGCGATAAAGAGATAATTATTTCAGAAATTAACCTATGCAAAATTATATTCGTGAATAAAGTATCATTACCTTATTGACAAAAGTACAACATTAATGTACTTAAATCTTAATTTATAATTTTTTAATAAACAATCTTTTAATATATATATATAAGGAATCAAATAATTTGTTGCAAAGTAATTTACGCACAAATTCTATAAAAAAAATTTAGTACAGGCAAAATTGTTATATTACGTTAATAAAAAATATAATCGCTAAAATAAATATATGAATAACTTTATTAATGTAAATATACGTACACTCAAATTTGATGTTGACCTAGATCTTGTCGTGAGATGATACGAACGTGCTGAAAGATATCGAAAGTGAAACGTGCTACTCGGAATCACAAAATTTGCTTGTCTCTCCTCAACAGTCACTGTCAGACTGATGGTTCATGTAGGACGGCAGATTACTAATATTCACAATCAAGTATATACAAACGCGTGTACCGGTTGCGTTACTACACGCATTAGGGGAGAATTTAAATCGTGTGATATAGAAACCGTTTATGTGGAGCAATTGATTTTTTCCATCATATATATATATATATATATATAATATAATACATATCAAGAAATTTATTCGTACACGTAAATAATTCCAAGTAAAATAATTAATCCTTAAAATTATTACTAATTTTGCGAGAATCATATTTTTATGTTTTGAAAAATTTATGAGTGATCATTGTAATTAACACTAGAATTCATAAATTTTGAATAATTTTTAATGCAAAAAAAGAAGAAACACATTCATAATTTTTTTAAACATATATTTTAATTCTATGATTTTGAATCCACCGTCAGAAAAATTCCATCGAATCGAATTTTTAAGATATAACATTTTTAATTCATCAATTTTCAATAACCAACATTTCTGTATCTAAATAATTTACAACAACAGCAACAAGTGATAAGTAAACAAGCGGATGTTCTTACTAGGATCTGATGGTAGTAAAAGAATATTTTTAGGGATTACATATTGGGACGGAACACTAGACGACTACTACTGAATTTTCCCAGAAAGTACAGAATATTTTTGATAAATATTTATTATATAAATATTGTATACATTTTATATAACATTTATACATTTTATATAAAACTTTATACAAAATATTATTAAAACAATATAAACTAACAATAATTGAATAAAGGCCGAATGACGGTCAAGCAAGATTTAAGTTGCTACAGTAATGTGTGAATTTTATTTACCACGTATGTAGTCTTCTTTAATCGCGCGCCGAAATATTTTCAGTCTTTTACAAACGCAACTCTAAATAACTACCGTAGTAATATCACTAGTTAAATTGACACGCAATCTAACAATATTTGATGCTTATAGCATCCGGGACGAAACGCCAACTTGTGATATTCTTCGCAATCTTATTTTTCACAGAATTTGATTTATTGTTAATTTAATTTACATTAATTAATAACAAATCATTAAAATTTAATATATGTCTTTCAACATATTATTAAGATCCTATAAGATGCTATAAGCATCAAATATTGTTAGATTGCGTGTCAATTTAACTAGTGATATTACTACGGTAGTTATTTAAAGTTGCGTTTGTAAAAGACTGAAAATATTTCGGCGCGCGATTAAAGAAGACTACATACGTGGTAAATAAAATTCACACATTACTGTAGCAACTTAAATCTTGCTTGACCGTCATTCGGCCTTTATTCAATTATTGTTTGAAATTCCAACGGTCCTACAAATATTGTAATATAAACTAAATATTTTATGTAATATTTATGATAAATATAAATAAATATTTACAATTTTTAATATATTTCATAATAATATTTATAATAAATGTTTATGATCTGTGCGATATATAAAACCACAAAAATACATATTTACAAAATTTAAAATAAGTTTTAATATATATAGTAAATATTTTATAAATATATATTGTATGCTGTCTGTAGATTAATACATAGAATCAATTTAAATAAGTTATATAAAAAATAAATATTAAGCTAACAAAATTAACGCTTCTGATTTTCTAACTTTAATGAAACCTTACTATATAGAATATCTCAAAATTTATAAATCAAAATGCTAGCAAGAAAGTTTCTCAAAGTTTTTATAAAATAGAAGCAAAGCACAACAGTACAAAATCAAACAACGATATAGAATATAATATAATTAATTATATTTCTTATAGTGTTAAAACATAAAATACACATATCTTTTTGTATTAAAATTTTATTGGATGTTTAACGCATACATTAACGAATGCATCAGAGACGCGTAATCACAACATTATCTCTAATTACCCACGATAATGCAGGTCAATCGATCAATCAATGCTAATTTCTTTCTTTTTCATCGCAGTTTAATTTACATTTGTAATACAATTCATCAATCGTCATCAAATAAAACGACAGAAAGTCAAACATACAATATTAGAAGGATCTTAATAGAATAAAATCGAATAAAAATCAATTCGCATCGAAATCGCGAATAACGTAACGAAAAGTAATAATGTGGAAAAAAGATTCACTTATGCCTGTTTCCACCAATGCAGATTAACTTTAATCCCGGTTTAACTTACTGTTCATCTTTTTCTAATTTTTAGAATTAGCAAAAGATGAAGAGCAAATTGAACCGAGATTAAAGTTAATCTACATTGGTGGAAATGGGCATTAGATTTTTAGGGAATCCACTCCACTTCGTTGGTCTCCAATCTTTCGCCGCTGTTCCTTGATGTGACGCGACCGTTCTGCTCCGTCGTTGACCCTGTTTGAGTATCTTCTGAACCGGCTATCTTGTGATATACTTTGCTTCCGGTCTCAGCGATCCACTGGACGCCATCGCCGATCTTCTCGCCCGCTTTGCGCACCACATTACCAAAATTCTCAGAAGTGAAAGTGTTAGGGTCAACGTTGATGTCCAGAGTATTGTTGCCTTGTGGACAGCCAGACTGTGAAATGATGCTCAAATCGAACGGATCAACACCGTATTGGCCCAATCGCTGACGTATCTTGTCAATCTGTATCTGATCCAACATCCTGGTCCTCGAGAGGATCGTCGCGCTCTGTCGATGAGCGAACGCCAATTTCTGGCACGTAAATATGCCGGCGTAAGTATCGTAATCCGTCATAAATACCACATGGGATGCACTTCCAGCCACACCTAAATTACAGATACGAATTTTAGTTACATAACGCGATGAGTTGCTTGCAATTCGTATGAAAATTATTATGCAAAAACGCATGGTTTGTCGCGAAATTAGTATGTAGCAAATTTATCTTCAATTAGCCTAATGTCTTATCATTTGTAAATTAAAGAGAGGAAGCTGTAGCTGTAATATTTGAATTTCATTGCGCACATACACAATTTTCATTTATCGTATTCTTTTGTTTCTATAAAATAAAATTATGTCTCTCTTCCACTTTTAAATATTATAATATTGCGCGCGTTAAGATACTTACTAAGTGGAAAACGGACTTCCATACGTCCCGGAGTACTTGGTTCGGGTACAGTCAATTGGCCAGTATAATGATACTCGTGCTTCAATGGCGTAAGACCTGTACACACGCAATTACGGATAATTCATCCCACTTGCTAGACATTTATTCCATTGAGGTTCCTTTTATGATTCTCGATGCAGCCCGATACGCGCTTCGTAGAAGCACACGTATTGCGTCTCCTTTCTTTACCAATTGCCCTTACTATTTTTTAATTGCCTTACCTAAGATTAGATGATCCGAGTCCTGTGTTATAACGTACTCGCCTGGTTCCTCTCCTCGTGTGTAATTGTAAGTAATGCACTTGCTACCTGTTGATGTTTTCTGGATAACATACCACAGACCTAAAAACTGAAATTTTTAACAAATCGATTATTTTTGAAACGATTTTTGAACGAATAAATTTGATTGTATGGATAAGAAAAAATATTTGGTAAATTATTACAGAGATATCTTTTGCCTCTGTAATAATAATTTTTCGACTTACTCTACCAATCTGAAAACCCTGCATGGGTTCCACAATAGGACAAGCACCCATATGATACGTATGAGCCTGAGCAAAAGCGAGGCATCCCGCCAATACTAGACACCATGCCAAAGATTGCATCTTCTACTGAAAAGAAGAAAAAGATAAATAACATTATTAAGCGATTTATTGTCAATTCTCAAAAGATCAAACAATTCGAATTTTTCCACTTTTATTAGGACCTTGAATAAGTCCACGCCGTTTTCCAACATATATGGTGTTAACAGACCTGCGTGCATGTAGTTGAAGACGGGAACATATCGATAAGAAATTACGATAAGTAAGCTTGAAATTCAGTGTACGTCATCTCGCCGAAGTGTAAACAACTTTTTGTTTTATAGTGTTAAACATGTCGAGTTTTGTGCCAACAAAAGAGTATTATTGCGGGGGAATTTTATTGCACTACTTTATTCAAAGAAAATCTGCAGCTGAAGCACACTGCAGAATTCTTGTTGAGACTTACGGTGACCATGCTCTATCGGAAACAACATGCAGAGAATGGTTTAGACGCTTAAAAAATAATGATTTTACTTTTCACGGAAAAAAAAAAAAACGGCGAGAACTTATTCAAGGTCCCAATATATAAATTGTTAAATAATTGTTTATGCGCATTTCTAATCTATGATAAAAGATTCGGTCGTTAATCACTTCTTATAATTATTTTAAATTTGCTAATAATAACAATAATAATAATACATAAACAGTGTAGAATAAAAAATTTCGCGAAAAAATTATTCAAGGATATACGAGTCACATCTCAAACATTGTCAAAAATACAAAAACTTCGCAGATATGTTCTTTTATTACGTTTGAATATCTATGTAAAATTTGAATGCAATTCTCTTGATTTAAAAGTTATTTAATTTTTTTATTGGTCTTTATTCTTACGTAAAATCATATTTTGTAGTACTTATTTGTAAATTTAAAAATAAAATAATATTAAGAATTAAATCAAATGTTAAACATGTACTGATCAAACAATAATAAATGTTTGTGCAAAAGTTTATTTAAATTCACTTATTTGTTTAAACATTATTAATCCAAAATTTCAAAAAAATATGGTCATTTTGCTGCATATAAAATCATTATAAGCAAAATTATTTGTTTTATTTTTTTTAGTTGATTTCAGAGCACACTCACGAGAGCTATATCATACAAACATTTTGAATGACATTGGTCGATATTAGCTTATTTTAACTGATATTTTTAGTTGATACTGTACAGCCAAAACATCCTTATAGTAGTAAGTGCCTATATCTATATATACAGAGTGTTCAGGAATTCAAGGGTAATCTTACTGCAGCGTGAAACTTTAGTAAAAAATTAAATAATGAAAATGGAAGCCATTTTTCTTCTTCAAAATAGTTTTTTAAACATAAACATTTAAAGTTTGACTAATTACAAACCCTGGTTAAAAAGTCATGTTTATGTAATAGCGTGCGTACAGCGATAATGTTCTGTTTAATATCCAATATCATTATACACGCACGTCACACGATAGATGACTTTTTAACGAACGTTTATGATTAATCAAACATTAAACGTTTACATTTAAAAAAAAAAAGCTACTTTAGGGAAAAAATGGCTTACAGTTTTTATTACTTAATTTCTCACGAAGTTTCACGCTGCACTAAAATTATCCACAAATTTCTAAACACCTCGTATATATGGAATGCGATGAGTGGTATATATAAATTCGATATCGTTTCCGATGCAAAGATTTCAGTGAAAGTAATGACGTCACGCATTTTTCACGCATATATTTCAATAAAACTTCTTAATACGTGTGTGCATAACAATCCGTATATATACGTCTCAAGTTTGTTAAGTAAAGTGATTCTTTTAAACTCATGCACAACCATCATCATGATCTCGGATTTCAGGTACAATCGGTGAAACATGATTTACACTCGCCTTGGATACACATCACGGAGCGTGATCAAGGACCTCTGGAATTTATGTTCCCATGTTATTATAGTGGCTGTCTTTGTCTCTCGTTCTTATTTCATACAATAATAAATGCGCGGTAGTGACCGCGATGAGTGCACGATTAAAATCGACCCGTTGCGACCTTTGACTCTCCATTAAGAATATCTTTATTCCATACTTATATGCACCAACGTGAATCAATTAGTATTTTTCTGCTTGCGAAAAGCTCTGTTTTACAGGCGCAAGATATAAGGATTTATTTCGTAGAGAAAGTAAAAAAAACATTACTCCATTTTTAATTGCTATCGTTTTCTCGTCTCTTCTTGCTTCATACAAAAGAGACGATAGGCGATGTCTTTTCTCGAATGTATATGCAAAAAGCGAAACAATTTTTAAAGTAAATGAATGGAAACTTAAAGCCATAATATCTCTCTACAAGTATTGTAGGAATATTTATGTAAAGTACGAGATAAAGAGTTGATGTATTTGAAAAAAAAAAGACTAAAATTATCAACTTGAGTATACTCACTATGGAGGTTGATGCTGCCGATCTCTGCGTTTGCACTATAAATACAACTTCTACTGGAGAGATGGACTTTATGTGGCTAGTGCCCCACTCTCGGCGTACCCCACAATTACAGGTCACGTATACATTCACCGAGACGCATAACACGATATAGAATGTTTTGTTGTTTTTCCTTGTAAATCGGTTCATACTGATTCATCTTTCTTTTTTATACGACGATAAACTTGCTATATATTTGCACATCATTTCTTTAAAAAAATGTAGGATTATCATAATCATCATTGTGACGTTCAATTACGTTCAATAAGCATGTGACGCATCCATTACATGAACGCACAATACTATATATATGCATTCTGAGAATCACTAATTCTCCATATATAGTATATGCAAGTTTTTCATTTTTCTCAGAAACAAACATGATTTAAAGTAAGCGGTATATATGATAATAGGTAATAATAAGATAATCTGAAATGGAATAATTTTTACGTTGATATATAATCGATTTATACAAAGTGTGTTGCCAATAAAATATTTATTCATAAAATACAAAATTTTTACACATTTCTTTAAATTTTTACATTCAATTTTAAATTAAGCATTCGTATATATAAATATATATAAATTGTTGCGACCAACGCAACAGTATGTAATGTTTCTGCTAAGGCACGAACATGACAGATATTATATAGAGCAGTTAAATTAATTGTTGTAAAGTTTCTATACCAGAGAGACCAAGGCACAAAGATGATTGTCAGCTCATTTGACACACATCATATAAAATTTAAATTTTTCCTTTAAAATTGATTTCTTTAGAGTAATGCATACAGAAGATTATATACCATATTAAATAGACAAAGTGATTAAATGTAAAAGTAAAATATAATATTCAAATACAGTAATAAGATATTAAACACAAGAATATATGAAATTGGCATCATTAATTAAAGTAGTTGTGAACGAAATATTGTATAAAACTTACTTAAATGCAATATAATACGTAAAACAGTAATGTATTCCAGTAACTTAAATAAGTATGAAATTTATGTAATTTAATAAAAACCATACTGGTCACACACAAAAAAATTTCTACTAAAAAATACAAAATGTAAACTTTAATCGATGTAATTATTAAACAAATGAAGAACATTTACTTAAATAAATTAACTTTTAGAATACCTAGAGACATACTCTTCACATAATCACATGATTAAAAATGCAAAGTTCTAATTCTTTTTCTCGAGTAGTTTCTACATTTTACACAGCGGGTATTTTACATGTATCTAAATCATTAAAATAGGGATGTTGCAATGCTGCTCGTGCGGATATTCTATATACAGGATCGTACGTGAGCATAGTTTCCAATAGATTCAATCCATCCGAATCCAATGTCTTGTTCATTTGTAAGTCCAAGTTATTCATCATCCAATTTGGGAAAGTCGTTTTGTAATCTGGCAGTTGCGTTACGCCTGGCCATATATCTTCCGTAGGCGTTCTTAATATTCTATAAGACAGAATAATTATTAAATGGCCTCAGAAAAAATATTTTTATGATAACGTATAAAAATTTTACCGGAATATCCTGAAAAGTTGATCAATTTCGCTGTCTCCTTGGAACAATGGTTTACTAGTTGCCATTTCTGCAAAAATACATCCAATACTCCACATATCAATCGCACACGAGTATCTAGTAGCACCGAGGAGAATCTCAGGCGCCCTGTACCACAGAGTTACAACTTCGTGTGTATATATTCTCACTGGAATTCCGAATGCCCTTCCAAGTCCGAAATCCGCTACTTTGATAGTTCCAGTTTTATCAATTAACAAATTCTGTGGTTTTAAATCGCGATGTAATATTCTTCGCTTGTGACAGAACAAAATTGCACGTGTGATCTAAAACAGAAAGCAATTATATTATTTGCATGATCACAATCTTGATAAAAAAGTTTCCCCATGGCAATTTAATAAAGTCTATTCTTTATATATCAACTAATGTACATTCGTTGTACTTAAACTTTAAAAATAAAAAATTATACAATATTCGAAATTTTTCAAAAATAAAAAAGTTTTAGTATAGTCCAATGTAGTGATAAAATACTGTTTTTAATCTTATCTTATACAAAGTTTTAATGTATAGTCTACTACAGCAATACAATATTTTTTTATCTATTTATACTTAAAATAATGCAGCCTCCCAGAATATTTATCTTCTTTACTAGGAATGCTGTACTGGAATGCACTAAAACTTTCTTAAATGACTCATATTACAGCTTCTCAAAGTATTAAGCCTGTTCTTTATCTAGATGAGAATGCACTAAAATTTTCTATCTTGCTCTCTCTCCTTTGCCAATCCCTTTAAATATATATCTAATTTAAGTACAAATATAATCTCAATTGAATAACTCTTACAGGCATATAAGGTAGGCCTCTACTACAATGCCTTACTGATGAGTCCAGTAGTGGAAGCCAGGACAAAACGCCAAAATTAGATGATATTCTTTGCAATATATTAGAATAAATTAAAAAATTTAACGAATTTATTGGCTCATAGCCCTGTTTCTCTCCATTAGTTACAAATATAATAGTTGACAAATATTAAAATCTTTCTAGGACCGTACAAATGATAAACACAAACAATAAAAAGTGAGCTGTTAAATAACAGTCAAAGCTGGATCACAATGCTTATTATAATTATGTGTAAATTTTATATACTGTGTATGTAGTCCCCCAATTCTTATTGTTTGTGTTTAGAATAGTTGAACTACAAAGATAAGATTTATTCATCTTTCCTCCTATGGAAGAACTTTACAATATTAGCATGAGACTACGTATTTTTTCGTACAAACAAACCTGATACAAGTATGATTTAACTACAGCTGATTCCATCACTTTATTCTCTAAACTATCCATGTATTTTTTTAGGTCCATAGTGAGATACTCGAAAATAAGATACAGTTTTGATTCTTCCATTAATACATCAATCAAGCTCACTATGTTGGGATGAGTTAATTCTTTGAGCAATGAAATTTCTCTAATAGCGGTTGACGGTATTCCCTCATCATCGTTTTCCAAACGTATCTTTTTCATGGCTACAATTTCTCCAGTCCTTTTGTGTTTTCCTTTGTATACTACTCCATAAGTACCTAAAAAATTTCAATATTTTTCATAATTTGCTTTATATCTCATATTCTATACTCCAATATTTTTATGTTGCTGATCAAAACGTTTTATATAATTTGTATATAGCTAAAATCAAATGCAACTTTATATAAGGCTTTACTTAACAATCAAATAATATTGCATTTAACATGCAATACCCATTTAACAAATATAATTTTTCGTTTGGTCAAGTACTTGAATATAATTTTTAATACTCTAAACAGATGTTACGTAAAAAAAAAACAGGAATCTTATTTATTATATTGTATAATGAATATATCGGCAAAAGAACGTTTAAATATTATAAATAAACAAATATTCATTAATTACTGAGTATAACGTATATGATGCAACAGTAGCTTGACAACACAATTTAACAATAGCTTCTCGTATTTTCCGTGCACTTACCTTCTCCGATTTTTTCTATTTTTATGAAATTGTCCATTGTGTGTGACTGAAAGAATGAGGATACCGATTTAGTAATATAATCTTTAAAATTTCTTTCCACGATTTGACCAGAGATACAGTCCTCGTGTTTCGCCGTGTCACCTAACGAACAAATTCAAATCAAACGGTATGTACGCCATATTGGCATAGCAGTATAGCACATGGAGACAGTGTTGCCAGAATTTTTAAGCTGGGATGTAGAGATCGGACTTGAAAATGTACTAGATTGTACCAACTTAAAAAACAAATTTAGTACAATTGTAAAAAATAAAAAAAAAGATTAAACAACATATTTAAATTAAATTTCCTCTTTAAAAAAGAATGCATTGCAAAAATATCACTACCAAAATATAAATCAAGTTATCTTGGAAACTTCTCAACAAAAGACACAAATTATACGATGTGCAATTGAGTGCAAATCGGTTTATATATATTTTTAGTATTAATAAATAATTTATTTTTTTAAGGTTATTGTGACAACGAAATAAGGGTGCCAGCACATGCGGCGTAAGGGTGCCGTCCCATGGCGCGTATTGGCTCCTGCACACCAAGCGCGATGCGCGCCACGCGATATCCAATAAGCGTACATCTTTACCGATGTTCTCATTCTAAAGCTGTACGCTTATTGGATATCGCGTATCGCGCTTGGTGTGCAAGAGCCATAGAGATAGTAATACTCTAGAGTACGCATTGTCGGAAATTTGAGGAGTGGGGGTAATTCTATCTAGAAAAAGACGCACTCATTTGGAACTATAGGGACTCTATTTGGAACCGTTTCGTTCTCTCTCGTTTCGCGCATGCGTATAGCCGTATACTCTGAGAGGGGATCGAAAGAAAGAATTGAAAGAGCAACCCTTGGCACTGAGAAACCTTTAACCTTATCAAAGTCAATTCTTTGTTTGATTACAAAGAGATCAGGCTTGTCCGGTCATGCTTGGAAAGCCTTGTTAAGAACAAGACTTCTTGGTTATAACCGACGCGCGCATGCGCAAACTTTCATTCAATGTGCAATGCCACTGCGCATTGAATGAATAACCGCGGACGTTTTTTGACCTACCCCCACCACGCTAGTTTACTCTCCTGGTTCTAGTCTTCTTGCTTCCACCAATCCACTATAGTTTGTAACCACAGGTTTCTCTCTGGTACCACTTTCTATATCTACAGTTTGATACATTATAATTATATGATTTATGTACACGCGTGCGCGTATAACAAAACGAATGTGCAAACTGAAAACTTATTACTCAAACAATGCTAATATAATCCATAGAAATTAAGATTATATTATTTAGAAGTTTTTATATAAACACAGTTCCCTTCATTTTTCGGAAAAATGTCTTCTAATCTACACTTTTGTCGTTTTTAACTTGTTTAAAGAATATATAATTTACCCCAATTTCTAATAAGAAATCACAAATCTTTTATTAAATAGGAGTTGCTATAATAATTTAATACTTAGTAGAAGACTGAAAGAATTCCAGCTCGAATTTAATTGAATCCTTCTAAAAAGGAAAAAAAAAAATCAGGATTAGACAATGTAAGAAAAGAAACTTCATTCATAGATAAACAACGCATTAAGATTTTTTTAGATAATCTTAATAAATTTATTTTTAGTGCTTACAACGCGAAAATACATAACTCGATTATAATTGTATGGTGAACTTTGAACTTGGATTAGCTGTAGTTCGCTATTGTCCCCAACAGGAAAGACTTAGAAATAATGCAATCCGGTAAAAAAATCCGAATCAGATTCAAGATCGCTAAGATAGCGAACATAATTCTATCTGCGTCAGTATCTACCAATATTATAAATATAATTAAACAATGGACCTGAAGTTTCAGAGTATTTTATCGTGGGAATTGATAGCCACCGGTTGCATAACCCAATCCAACACCACGTTGCGTGTGCGTGGTAGCTCGCGCTACTTCATATTGTTGCTCCATATTATTAAACATTTCCTCCTGCTTTTTCAGAATGTCTGGTTTGGCTCCTACCACCGATGTATTAGGTAGATCACCCTTAATACCCATCAGTCGCTTGAACTTAGCCGTCACTTTTCCATCCTGATCGTGTGTGAAAGTCGTTCCCATCCACGTATTAGCAGTGGAAGCTGCAGTCGATGTGCTGTTACCGTCATCCTGTTTTGTCTGCAAAGAGATAAAGGTGAGACTATAGAACAAGATTGTATATCGGATACATTGATTAAGGATACTACTGCAGCTGGGTAATCATCACCTTGTTTGCCCAAAGCAGCTTTCTCTTCTGGATCTGTTCCGCGTACTTGCCCTGTGTCGCCGTCGCCAACGGATTATAGTAGTTTTGTTCGCCTTGGATACCACCAGGCATCATAATATCACCGCCTTCCGGCGGCTTCAACTCTATGCCTAGTTTCTCCAACTGAGCCAGTTTGTTTCGTCCCTTTTCCTCGCGATAACTTGTCATTCTAAACGGTAGCGGTGCCACGCGATCCCTGGATCGCGACCTTGACCGCGTGCGATCCCTCTCCTTGTGGTAACTCGAACGCTCGTCCCGATATCGATCCTTGGACCGGTCGTCCCTGGAGTGTCGCCGATCCCGTTCATTACGGTCGCTGCGATCCCTGCGTCTATCCCTGTCGTTCCTGTCGCGATTACGATCCCTCCGGTCATCCCTGTAATGATGATCTTTGTCGCTCTTCTCTCTGTCATCACTTTTTTCGTCTTTAGACGATCCAAGAGACGTTTTGCGCTTGTCGTCATCCCGATTCCTGCGATCTCTACTTCGGTCCCTGTGATTGTTATTACGTTGCTTTCGATCATCATAACGGCGACTTTTGTCAGATGAATGACGACTCCGATCACTACGGTCTCCTCGCCTATGATCGTCTTTCAAACTTGTATGATTCTCATGATCGCCTCGCCTGTAAAACGATTACGTTCTGCAGGGGTATACCACACAGATGCGTATTATTATTCTGGACAGGTGTATAAATTCGATATAGTTTTAGTGAAATATATCAAAATTACTATTTTCATAACAAATTTGATATCCATAAAATATCTCTAGCACCTGTGCTATATATAATTAACAAACCAGCCTACCTCTGGTCTGATGAAGAAGGTAAAGCCTGAGAAGATTCTGTTTTTGAGCCAAAAGTAGACTGAGCGGTTGTAGGACTGTTTGCGCGTTCGCTACTAGATTCCCTTGATGAATTGTTGTTATTGCTCTCCTAAAGAAAAAAATGATCAATTTTAATATGAATCTCTCTTATATATTCCACTATGTAAAAAATAGTTCTTAATTCCTACCACAAAACTATCTTAGAATGCATAACTTCAATATACGCAAAATTGAGTTCTCTGACAGCGAGTAATATGTATTAGAAACACTTTATAAAGAGAGAAAATGTTCTTACATAGTAAGTAAGTATATAAAAAGTATAACATAAACTTGAAGGATTTCTCTCTATAAAAGAAAATTCAGATTTTTTTTGCATCAGTTCTTGGTTGTACTTGATACAAAAGAATGGCGACACTTTACATGTCACACTAAACAATAATACAATTTGTATATACTAATTACCGAGGTAATAGATAAAATGAACCAATAAAACAATCATGTCACAAAAAGGAAAAAGAGAGAGAGAGAGAGAGAGAGAGAGAGAGAGAGGATGGTGAGGGCCCTTCACATCAATCTGCTTCTGCAGTTAGTTATCACCCGAGTATACTTGTACACGTGATTTCTTTGATGATTGATGTTTTGTTAGTGTTACCTTCTGCTAGCTTCCTCTACTCACCTCTGTCTTCGGAATAGGACTTGGGGGTAGTCTTGAAAGACCCTCACACAGCATAGACCTTGCCGAGATGCGTAGATATTGTATCATGTATTACCAACAGAGCTACGTGTTAATATTGTCTCACGAAATGGCACTATTCCCATTTACTTATCATTTAAGTTTTAATTATGTGAATGATAGCCTATCCTGTGATCAATAAGATTTCAAGGTCCTGTCTTGTTTTTAAGCTACGAGCATTAAATACAGATTTGCTCAACTTTCAAAATTACGAATGCATCTTGTACCCAATCATAATTCAAACTATACTGATAATACCAAATAATCCAAATGTAAACAGAACCTTTATCAATCAAACATTGCTTCCTACATTGCAAATTATATTTATTTCTTACAGTATTAACCAATTGATTTATTAACATGACCTTGCAAAACTGGATACTATCCCCTCTATGTATCAGGCCTAAGACTTTGCATGTACATACAGCACTCGTAAAGTCACTGTGGTATCTTCTTAGGCATTGTCCGAATGTTTCATACTTAGCAACTAATTAAAAATTATCGGCGTGTGATTTCACTATACCTCACTCATGTCCATTTGTACCGGATCGTAATTGGCGTCGCTCGCCCTTCTGTTTGCCTCTTCCTGTCTCCGAGGTGGCGTCTAGGAAAACAAGATCAATTATTTCGAGCCCAAGTTACTCAAAGTATACTGACACATTCGCCGCAATTCTAGTTTTGTAGATTATGCGCGACGATTCATCAAAAATTACAAAAGAAAGAAACAATTGCGTTTCTAAACGTATTTCTAGGTTGTAAACCGCGACGTTGTGTGAGTGTGTGTGGACAATATGCATAGCGAAGCCATGTCGAGTTAGAGTAGTGTACGTTGCTACTTCGAATTTTGAGTGGCGTCGATGGCGATGTCGTCAATGATGACGGTGGATTCTCGTGTTTGCTTACCTTCGTATCGTCCGAATTATTGCTGTTGTCGCCGTCACTGGCGTAATTCGCCAACGAGTCCATAATGGCGCGTGAAACGCTCAACTGTTCCGCTGTTGTTGATTACAATCGAAGTAATCGGATGAATCGGACTACGGCGACGACGGCTGACGGCGGCTCGGCGGTTGACGGCGGCCACGGCTAAGTGCAACCACTGGTGCAACTTTGGGCCGAGTGTATGTACAATACATATGTATCACTGATAATGCTGAATTAATGCAGAACAATGCAGAATGCTCGCTGCAACTGACTGCAACGCGGCGCGCAGCGTCGAATGCGCCGATTTTCTTTCAACACGTCTCGCGCATGCCCGCCATTGGTCGGCCAAGCCGGGTCAAAATGCCGCTGCGATTGTCCGAACACGATGAACCACGTCATTGGCCGCCTGCAGTATATATATATGTACCAAAGCATAGAGAATGGACTGCGCGATCCGTGTGTCAAAATGATCGATAGGGATGAGAGAGTAGAAGACGGCCATCTCCCTCTCATTCTCTCTTCCATTACACCATCGAATGGAAAAAGATAGAGATGGCCGTCTTCCACGGACCCTCTCTCTCATTTTCGTCGACACATTTTGATACTACTTTAGATACGGGATCGCGCAGTCCATTCTCTATGCTTTGATATGTATGTACATACATACAACATACACACATGCTTCTTTCTGTACATACTGTTTTAATATTTATTTATTGCTCTTAAGTAAGAAATAAGTGGAAGTATATAGAAACATCCTGAATATATTATATCTTGTGTCATTTTCAGAATAATATCATGTGCTATCTGGGAAAATTCTTCTTTCGATTTTTCCTTCTTGCTGAAAGGCTTCTAATTCATTCGTCATTTTGAATACAGGAAGAATGATGCGGATCTATTTTTTTCCGTTTTTTCAGTAAGCTTATACTTCTTGAATTTACTTTTAACACATAAGCTAAAAGTTTGCGTTGCTTGACAATCTCCGTTGTTGCATTTATAAATTTAAATTTATATATGAATTTATATCGTATGCATTACATATATGATCTTTATTATTGATCCAAGGCGTCGAGTTACATGAGACCTTCCGCTTCCGCAATTACATTTACTTATATCTTTAAGACTGTGATCAAAAGACTTGTCACAAATGCTTTGAAGCATTTGACAGAACAGTTAAAAGAAAGAATTTTACAAATTGACCAATTAAAAAACGCTTTAAAGCATTTGTATATATTGACCGTGTCTTCTATAACGATTCACTTATAACTTAAGTTTAATTCGCCGCATATACATATATAATTAAAGGACTTGAATCATTTTTCACATGTAATGTAACATACATATATAATAATGCGATGATATATGTATATAAAAAAGATTATAAATTATAAGGCACAAGACACATATGTTAATGCTTGTGTATGATATAAACAATAATATAAGTTTAATGTGGTTTAGTAATAAACAAAGGAATTAGAAAGGAGCATATACCACGACGCTGGATGGATTTTGCGAAAATATAATGTATTTCTTAGAATATTGAAACGAAATTTTTATTATTATTAAACGATTCGGCCTTTAATCTGACCATCATCAGTAAACGAAGGAATTAATTTAATATATCTATTGTTCTTCGCAATATATTAAATTAATTCCTTCGTTTACTAATGATAAAGGTCAGATTAAAGGCCGAATCGTTTACTAATAATAAAAATTTCGTTTCAATATTCTAAGAAATACATTATATTTTCGCAAAATCCATCCAACGTCGTGGTATATGCTCCTTTCTAATTCCTTTGATTATAAGGCGTTCCGGGTTTCACGCATAATGCGTACAATGCATCAATAATTGTTCTTATTTAATATTATAACGCATCCTAAGACACAAGGCTCAACAATGAATATTTTGGAGCTATAAATATATTAAAAGTGTAAAAATGTGTTTATATATGGTATATGTATAAACTTTATATGTTCAGATATATTTAAATTTACAAAACATTTCGACAATCGTCCTCCCCTCTCTCCTCAGAGAAAATAAAAGAATGAATATTGTGTTTTGTATATATATATATCACAGAAAAAATGCGCGGCAAATTCAAGAATTCCCTCGGGAGGGCCAAAATAATTTGAAGTGCGTTCCACTTGATGCTCACGACACTTGTGAAATTATTTCATCCAATAGTTGTTTGTTATTATAAACAAGAACAAATAAGAACGCTCATAAGTATTGTAAGCGCCAAATGGAATACGTAAAATCTCTATAAGACCAAAGAACGAGAGATATCGCGTTCATTGTCCCGCAAACTGAAGGTTCAGTTGATCTTCTCACGACAGCTCATATATATATATATATATATATATATATATATATATAGAGCGTTCCTCTGATCCTCCTCCTCTCGTCCTCGTGCACGTCACCGCGTCGTTCCGGCGCGCGAGGAAAATCCGAAGTAAAAATAACCTACTTTTTCCGCGTTTTTTAACGTCGGAAGACTGCGAGATGTACACGCTTCTTTCTCGCTACGCCAACAATCTCGGTCGTTACGCCTTGATTATAATTGACGATCGATAACATTATATATAGTGAACCAGGAAAGGAGAGGAGAATGTGGCTTAATAGATATACCATGATTAATACTCGAGACAGCAGTGAAGATAAGGAATATAGGTATTTATGTAGGTATATATATACTTTCTCACTTCCTTCCACTTTCACCTTGTAAGTTACGATTAGCAATGAATGAAATAAGTTGTTACACCTTCTAGTATTTATCATTTTCTATTTCTTCCTTGCAGGCAATATTTATACTCCGTAGTAATTTAATTTTTTATGTATTTTTTAATTTATCGCAGACTTAATGAAAGTCGGTAACCTCTGGAAGGAAAGAGGTAACCAATTTAAACATCGATTAATCGACGTTGGCTTTCGAGTACACCTCAGAGCACCTCTGTAAATCACGACGGCATTCAACCCGCGCTCTAAGACGTCCGGTCATACGTCGTAAATCAAGAAAGATGCGCATAATTGAGGATGCTGTGGAAGAAAGGAGGAGGAGGACAGCCAGGAGAGTTGATGCACGAAGGTATGTAACATGCGCGGCTCGAAGATAGAGGGAGAGAGAGAGAGAGAGAGAGAGAGAGTGCCGTCCGGCCGCGATGGAGCCAAGCTGTGGGAAACGTGCGGGAAAGGTGTACGCGCGCGCGCGAAAGACGATGGAGGTGGCATGCACACGTACGTAACCACGTACGCGTGGCGTGGGTACCGCGTCAATGTTAAATGTACGTACGGCGGAGCCACCTCGCATTGACGAGCCAAGCCGAGCCGGTCGGTGCCGCGCGGCGCGCGCCCAAGCTGGTGTGTTGCGCCGGTTGCGCGCGGGCCGGGGCGGCGAATCCAGGCGAATCGCCGGGATGCAAAGCAACAGGAACACCAGTCGCTCGGCGGACTTGGTGCAGGTAGTATCGGTCGCGGTATGCGCGCCGCGGTGCACGCGTATACGCGTTCAGTGATACAGTCTCGTAATCGCCCGCCGTGTATCGTCATCACTCTTCTCTCTCTACCTCTCCTCCTGCCGTGAGAGTGGACAGGACCCTTCCCAAGCACGTACCGTCGCTTCCGGATCGTAAGTATAAAGCCATAAATTGTCTAATTACGCGTCTCCCTCGTACTTCTCGGCGTATCAGAGACCATTAAGAGATTCGCCGAAGGGATGTAACGCGAAGCGGCGCGATGCGAGTGCTCCGTGCGTCCACCTCTCGAGGGTTGCACCTCTCTGTGACCCGGAGAGGGTTGGTTGCACTGTGCGATGTAGGTTACCGTTACGTACTCGTCCACTTTTCGCCGGCGTAACGCCAGCTCTCGTCATGCAAATGAAAAGGGATGAGAAAATCCAGGCAGATTTAATGACAGAGAGAACAGGGTCAGCGAGCAATCGGTGTAATTGATCTCAAAGGGTCTGGTCGCACGATATATCTATCTATCCATATATATATCGCACAAGGATTAACTAATCTTTCTCTTCTCTATTTACGTCATGGATGCAGTCTCGAGACGGAGAACGAGAGCAATATCGTCAATTACAATCGGTTAACCGATGTGTGACTGATCCGAAGGGTCGATCGTATTGATACGAGTTAGTATCTAATCTTATTTAATCGATCTGCCTGTTTCTTTAATTCGTAAAGATAATGTTGAATTTGTATGAAGTGAAACGATAATTCGCATGATAAACAACCTGTGCTGCGGAAGCTCGAGAATAGGTACGGTCCTTGTTTAACCACGTGCGAAGCTTTGGCAAAATTCCAATTTGCGAGGCACTTCCAAGATCGCGCTCTGTGCTTTTACGGTACCATTAACGTCTCGCGTCCAATCTTGCGAAATTAAATCGTCACTTCCGGTAAAAAGTAACTCGCGCGAGTCGTTTTACGCGGAAATCCATGGCGACAGGATTAATTCACCGTGGAAAAATCGGAATTTCGAAGGGTCAACATTCCCGTTGATGAAATCTCTCGCAACTTCGTTTTCGGGAATCAATGAACGGACTGGGCGACCGAGCAGCCTCGATCGAAGCGTACCAAAGCGACATCGTTCAACGTTATTGCTGATTCATTCATTTCATTCGGATGACCTGCTTTATATTTCGACTGAAGCCCGAGTCAATTGTTTCAACGGACCTTCGTTCTTCGCGTGCACAGTTTCGATACTTTCGACCTGTGTTCGTCCGTTCACAATTTCTCTTCCGGAATCTCTGCCGTGTTAATTAACTCTTCGATCGGTATATATATAGTCCATTTTGTTTTTTCTTGTCGAAGATGTTTCAAGCAAAACAATAATGATAACGTCATTTTGACTTAAAATGCATTTTAATTGCATCGAAAAGTGACGTTTAATATACATTTAGGAGCCATTTTGACGCCATTATGATATTATAATGACTTTTTGTTCTGCTTGGGATTGATATTAAATGGAAATGCCCATCTTAATTACGATTAATAAAACTGTGTATACATATACGCAGCATTTTTTCTCTCGATTAATCTCAACGTTCGAGATCATGTCGAAAGACTGAATAACACGCACGTCCGTTTAATCAACGCTCGCGTAGTGCGAAGATATTAAAGTTGTATGTGCGCGATCGCTAGTCCACCAGGGGCATCGATGTGCTCAATTTTAACTGATTTTAACGTCGCATTAGCTTGTTCCAGCAAACTGAGTCCTTGGATATTAATCGAAGTCTCGTGCAGTCAATGTAGCTTGTTCTATTGAATCTGGGCTTCGCGGATGATATAATATGTTTCTCTCGTTTGCGTCGTTTATGATTCTCCGCTGTTGCGACCTGATTTTGACCTACTCGAGCAAACTTGTCGGCGAAAAACCTCGTAAGAGCGAAAATTCGCGCCAACACCAGTTTATCCAGCAGGTTTTTTCCTCTCTCTGGCTGGTCACTTATCTCTCTTGGGCCCAATTCACTCTTAACCGAGGGTCAACTTATTTCTCATCTCTTTTCTATTCCAGAATTAGAAAAAGATAAACAACAAGTTACTTAACTCGGGTTATAACGACGTTTTCTGCATCTAAAAGACGACAAAGTTTTTTTTGTCACAATTTTAATCTTTATGTTGTTTGGGATCGAGGGAATACGTTGGTTAAGAGCTAACCATGAATTGTGAAACCGGGTCTTGGCCTTTTATAATCACCAGTGACTCGCGATGTATCGAAAGACGCGCGTTATAATGTCCATATCAAGAGGATTTCTGTTGTCAAAAAAATTCCTAAGCAAGTGCCGTAAGCAACAAGAATATTATCTGTTGTCCGTCGTTTAATCGATTTATAAAAGACACGTAACGACAACGCATTATTCTTACTAAAATAAAGCATTATATAAAAACTTGGTAATTGGCGATGACTGTATCTAATTTGTCTCGACTATATGATTTGACGCTGAGGAGATTGCGCAATATAAGCCTTCGCGATATAAGAGTGGGGATTACGGAGGAATCTCTAAATTTCTTGAAGTAAAATATTACTCTAAAAGAGTTAAAATACAGCTACTATCGAAAAAGAGTGAAAATTTTGCATTCTTGATTGAGAGTGGCAGATTTTCACTCTTTCATGTAGTGATATATTTCATATTTTTGGAGTGAGATTCGCTTTAAAAAAGGAATGAGATTTCTTTCCTTTGGATTAAATCTCGCTCCAAAAGAGAGAAAATCTGCTATTCTGAATCAAAAGTGCAGATTTTTCAATAGTAACAATATTTTAACTCTTTTGGAGTGAGATTTTACTTTAAGAGAAATTTAGAGAGATGATGCACGGAGTTCGTATCGATTGACAAGCATAGGTACTATCTGGTCCCATCGCGGACGAAAATGGTCCGTGGGACATTTGGAGAATCATTTTACTTTAATACGGTCAAGGGAGTAACGAACATATCGCGATATGATCGAAAATTATTCTCTTCTCTTTTGCTGCAGTAAAGTTAACTTAATAAAAATGTAAGTAATAAGACGTAGGTATCTAACAAATAAAAAAACGAATCGGCCAGTCGAAAATGTAACAACGTAGCAAATAAAAAATGTTTATTTGTTCACTATATTCACATTTTTTACTGCTTACGTTTTTCTATGTGTCACTGACTTAAGGATGTATTTTACAAATTTTTCTATATTATATTATTTGCAAGTAACACAAAGTTTACCGATGATTTGGAATTTGAGTTAAAAATTTATTTCAACAAGAAATAAATACGTTTTCAGAAAAATAATTAAGATAAATAAGACGCAATTTTCATATTATTATAAAATTGTATTATATTAAATAAAAATATTGAATATTTTTATTTAATAATACAATTTTATAATAAAATGAAAAATATCTAACATTTATATACGGAAAGTAATTTCAGTCATTTTTGCAGAGACTGTACACCTGATACATCCTTAATCGGACTTTCGCCTACGACCTTCCAGTCGAGGCGCTTTTGTCTGCTTTTCTTAAAATCGGAAACACTTGTGTTTTACTCTTACGAGAAGCGTAACGCCAATATGCGAATGCATGAACATCGATTACACGTCGAACTCGAGTGAATCGCTCTATTCAAGTATCATTCCTCCAGACATCTCGATCGAATCGAACCTGCGCACTGTTGCAAGCCAGTTCTATTATGTGCGCCACTTCTCCTTATCACACGAGATCTTCCCGGTCTAACACATACGCACCATGGCGTGCGTATGGTGTGCCATTGTACCAGCGGACAAGAGTAACACTTGTGTCACTCCGCGCGTAACGCGAGAGAGTGTTTGCCTCGCAACATGAGTGCTCGCCTAGGTAGCCGGTTGCACGGTGAATGCACTCACTTGCGACTTGTGAAAAGTGACCACACTTTTCGACAAGTATAGATATCTCCTCGTACAGGCGGTGAAGCCTTCACGTTCTCAAATAACTGCTCGTCCAAAAATAATATCATATCCGTATAGCGCAGTTCTCGGTGAATTTGAAGAATCCGGTTAGATACGATCGTTGTCAATATTATTATTATTAAAACTGAGTCGCGTTCGCAGCATTTGAAATGTACGAAATCGTGTCTGAAATGGATTTAAGAAAAACAAAATTAAGGAAAACAAAAAAACAATCTTTTTTTTATACAAAATAATAAACATAGAAATGGCATTGTAAGAGTCAAATAATTAAGAGAAAGTTTGACGTATAATTTTTTTTTTGTATAATTGATTGCACGATGTATTGGGACACAGTTTTTTACTTTTTTGACATATCATCTTTTATTCATTTTCTATTGACTGATAACTGTTTTTTGACATCTATTGTTTTTTTTTTTTTACTATTAATTGTACATGCATTGATACGCGGATCAACTAACATTTTTAAATTGAGATATAAATCTTTCGGTATGTTTGCACACACATTGATAATTTTTTAGAATTTAGAATTATTTAATTTCTAATTATAATATGTTCATAAGTCTTGATACAAAAATCTATAATTTTAAATTCTAGAACTCATAGTTGTTTTAATATTCCATGTTCACTTAAATCCATAGTCATTTAACTTCTAATTGTTTTTACAGATTTATATACCAATTCTATAATTTTCTCATAAGTCTTGATGCTGATATCTATAATTTTATATTTCAACGTTAATACCTAATCTGAAGAGGACCAGAATTTGCGGTCGAAACTAGTAATGTAATGTAATCTAATGTAATATATCTCCATCATTTAATGTTATATCATAAGTTAGTTTTAAGTTTTGTCACAATAGCTAAAATTAAAAATATATGGTCCAATTATTGTTTAGAATATCGCTCTTAATTATTTGACTCTTACAATGCCATTTCTATGTTTATTATTTTGAAATGGATTTTACAAATAATTTGACAAATAATGGGCTTACTTCATTTCTATCCTGAACGTTGAAATAGTCTCTTTTGTGTTACCTTTATCGATATTTAGATCAAGCATTAAAGTCACATTATGCCTATCGACAAAATCGCAAAATGGATATTACGGAGTCTTGCTATACAAGTTCTTGGTTTCCTTCAGATATCTACCTTGTTTCTATCAGTCTCTTTTCGCGTCACTCGCAACTCTCTCTCTCTCTCTCTCT